GTTTTTGGCCAGGGCTGGGTTTGAACCCGCCACCTCTGGCATATGGGGCTGGTGCCCTACCCTTTTGAGCCACAGGCACCACCCACGTTTTTCTTTTTTTAGTTCCTTTAGGTATAAAGTTAGGTTGTTAATTTGAGACCTTTCTTATTTTTTGATGTAGATATTTAAACTTCTGTCTTAATGCTGCTTTTGCTGCATCCCATCAGTGTTGGTATGTTGTATTTTTGTTTCCACTTGTCTCAAGATATTTTCTAATTTTCTTTTTGGTTTATTCTTCGACTTACTGGTTTTTAAGAAGTGTATTGTTTGCCATATATTCACTGAATTTTCAGTCTGCCTTCTGCTATTGATTTCTAGTTTCATTCCACTGTGGGTGGGAAATACACTTGGTATGAGTCCAATCTTCCTGAGTTTTCTAAGCTTTGTATTGTAACTTAACACGACCTATCCTGAAGAATATTATGCGTGCAATTGAAAAGAATGTATATCCTGTGGTTGTTTGGTGTAATATTCTGTATATGTCTGTTAGGTTCATTTGGCCTCTGGTGTTTTCATTCTGCTGCTTCCTTACTGATTTTCTGTCTGGGTGATCTAGCCATTATTGAAATCACAGTATTGAAAGCAAGCTCCTACCATTATTGCCTTGCTGTCTATTTCTCCCTCTAGTTCTGTCAATGTTTGTTTTATATATTTATGTACCCTGATGTCAAGTGTATATATAACTGTTATATATTCTTGAGGAATTGACACTTTCACCTTTATGTAATGACCTTTGTTCCTGTGGCACTTTTTGACATAAAGTCTATTTTGTTTGTTGTAGGAATAGCCATTTGTTCTCAATTCTACAAACCTCCAAGATTTCTGAGGTTTCTGCTGAGAATTCCATTAACAGTCTTATGGAGTTTCCCTTATATGTGACAAATTGCTTTGCTCTTGCTGTTTTCAAAATTCTTCCTTTGACTTTGGCTTTTGAAAATTTGGTCAGAGTGTATTTGAAAATTTGGCCTCTAAGTGTATTTCTTTGGGTCCATCTTAGTTGAGATGTGTTGGGGTTCTTGGGTCTGGATGTTTCTCTCTCCAGATTTGGAGAGTTTTCTGACATAATTGCCTTGAATACGCCTTCTTCCCCTTTCTTCTCCCTCTTCCCTTACTTAAGACTCCCATAGTACATTGGTTGCTTCCCCTGTTGGTGCCCCGTAAGTCCCTTAGACTTTCTCAGCTTTTTTTTTTTTTTTTACTATTTTGTTTTATTTTTACTCCTCTGTCTGGATACTCTCCAGTGACCTATTTTCAAGTTCACTGATCCTTCCTTCCATTTGATCTGGTCTGCTGTTGAAACCTCTAGTGAATTTTTCAGTCTATTTATTGTATTTTTCTGGTCCAAGATTATCTGTTTGATACTTTTTGTATTTTCAGTCTCCTTGTTGAAATTCTTACTTTGTTCTGACCTCACCAAGCATCTTTATGACAGTTATTTTGAATTATTTGTCAGGCAATTTGTATTATCTCTGTTTCTAGAGATGAATCTGTTCCTTTATTTGGGATATACAGGGTGTCCATAAAATTCGTGTGCAATTTAAAACTGCACACTATTTTAAATTGCACATGAACTTATGGCCACCCTATATTTCCCTGTTTCTTTATTTTCCAGTGTCCATGGCTTATCCTGTATAATAATATAATGTTCTCATCAGTCAGCCTAGCTTAACCTTTGCCTAGCTTCTCAAATCTCTGTGCTAGTTAAAATCACAGTCTTTGTTCTTAGTAGCCCCTAGTCATCTAGAGAAAGTTGGATGATGTCAGTGCTTCAAGACAGATTAAGACAGAATCTAGTCCCTCAGGCAGCCCCTGGAAAAGTTGGAACTTTTGAATTGTAGTAGTGTACGTCTTTTGCCCCCAAGGAGAACCTGGGCTTTTCTGCCCACTCACTCTGTACTTCAAGGGAAGAGACTATGGCAATCGCTTGCATGCTAGTTCAAACCACCATTTCTGTTCTCACCGGCCCTCAGGTTTTAAAAGCTTGCTAGGTCTCACCAGTGCTCCAAGTCATGCAAGACTGGAGTAACTTCCTTGAGCAGCCCCCAAAAGTTGGAAGATTGTACGTTCAGTTCAGTTCTTTCCTCCCCACAGTGAAACTGGAAGCTGGGAGGTTCCTCCAGATCATATGATGCTGTGCCAGGGGTAGGAATAATGGCAAGAAGTTGTCTCAAATGTTCCTACTGGCTTCGATGTGGATGGTTTTATGTTCACCCAGGGTGTAGGAACCTCTCAACTAGTTTCTGGATTTCCTACATGAAGGATTTGTTTGTGTAATGTTGTTCAATCCATGTGCTTGTAAGGAAAGGAAGGTCCTGGGCTTCCTATTTCACTCTCAGTGATTCTGCTCCTGAGCAACATGTCTAGTTTCATCTAAGTTTTAGGCTGTTGTGATTATAGTGACAATCAAGTAATTTATGGCACTTGCAGACATTTGTCATTTGATTAAATGTTCTATTTTTATACCAGTTGTTTTCATATATATATATATATATATATACACACACATATATATATGCCACTTTACACAGAGTATTTTCTCTGTCACTTACATATGTGAATGGATGTCAATGACTGGCACATGGCCTTCAGGGCATCACTTCCATCACTGCTCCTACTATTTGCTGTTTTCTTTTCTGTCTCTCTATACACGCTGGTGCCTAAGATGAGCTCTCACCCTTCCTCCCCTTTCTTCTTCTTCTTCTTCCCCATCACCCTAATTAATATTATATTCCCAAGCACCTGTTTAGCCCAGAACCAGTGCAGGTGGGGAAGTGTGGTGGCCTAGTTACCCCTTGATGAGATGGCAGAGAGATAGAGAAAAGACACAGATGTTCCTTTGGCTGCTCCGTCTTTAAGCCTGGCTCCTGAATTATTATTCTCAGGGGGGTTCCAGACCCTGCTCAACCTAAACCTTCTCCCACTCTTCACCCTGTGCCTCCAAGGTGTTCAGCACAGTGAACATTTAATTCAGCAAGCAGTATTCGCTTCATTTCTGCAAACGCCTCCTGCCATCTTCCCATAAGCCACTATTGTTTATTTACAGGACTTAAAAAAGCCCACAGCCAAGGCCCCAGGTTCAATGAAGAAATTCCCAAAAGCTTACAGCTTCTTTTTCTCCAAAGAGGAAATGAATCTGACTTCAGGAGGTCTCCTTGCACCCTAGACGCTCCTGACAGATCAAGACGAGAGGACAGAGAGGTAAGCACAGGGGCACAAGTGAATATTCGGCTCCCTGACACCTTCTTCTGGCTATTTACTGACTGTGATCAAGGTTCAAATGTCACCTCTGCTGGCTGCTCACACCTTGCTTCTGCTCCTGCCACTTTCCACCCTACTGCATTTTCTTCCTGGTACTTGCCCCCTAGCTGACACTTTCTTGTTCATCTATTTATTGTTTGCTTCCATTGCCTACTAGGATGTATTCTTTGTCACAGAAGAAACACTGTCTTGCTCACTAGTGTCCAACCCACAGCAAGTGTAAAGTAAAATATTTGTTGAATGACTGTATGAACCCTTCTTAAAAATCTGGAAGGGTTATACATCTTTAGATTTTATTTCACTGCATTTCAAGGTGGGGAATTACTTTCTACAATCTACATTTGGAGATTCGTAAACGTCTCAGGGTATAGCCTTCATAAATAGCAAGATCTATTTTATTCTCTTAGAAAGTATGTAGGTTAAATACTTGTGTATGGACTGGCTTATAGACTTAACTAATCGGCTGCCATAGAACCCTCCTTTTGTGGAAAAGTGAATTTCATGTTCTAAACATATAGCATTCATAAGATGGAAACAGTTTGTGATCATTAAGGATAGATTTACAAAACTAACCAAAATGGTCCAACACGCTGACCAAGGCAGTGACCTTGGTGGGGGGTGGGAGGAGCATTTTGGTGACGAGCCTGTGTGGACACACTGCCACCAAGTGGTGATGAGCGTAACCACAGGCTCTTCTTTCCTTTTCTGGCTACTATGTTCAAATGGTTATGTCACATGTAGAGCGCTTGTTTAAGCAAATAAAAAGGACACAAAATTGTCTGAAATTCTGGGTGCTACAATCAAAAACCAATTTAATAAAATTAAAAATAACTCTTCTTACCATGAGAACATCAACAAAATAAGCCACCTCTGCACCCACAACGCGTAGATTGTTTATAGCACAGATGTATTCCAGGGAACCATTAATCCAGTCTACATTAATGCAGTTCGTATCTTCTACTTGTAGCAATGCCTGGTACAAAGATATATTATGAAAATTAAAGAAATCAGTGTTAAAGAAAACCAAAGTGTCTCAAGACTTAATTCTATAGTAAGAAATATTATTATGTATTAATTGAGAATCTACTATATGTTAGTCTCTGTTCTAACCAATGCACACACACACACATAGATATGTATAAATATATACATATATAAACTTATTTACATATGTTTATATATGTGTATACATAAGTTTATATATGTATATATGTAAGTATATATATAAATAAGTTTATATATTTGTGAAATATACATATATAACTTACTCAATGAGATAGAAACCAAAATTATCTTCACTATATGGTCTAATAAAGAATTAATTGCTTATGATATTAGCAATCTATATGGAGTTAACTGGGGAATTTTTTTTCCCTTAAATTAAATGAGAAATTGATTGTACCATTTAATTTTTTCTCAAGGGTAGAATTTACCAAAGAATGATTATAAGAATATGCTCCCGTGATAATCTATGCAATTTATAATAAATAAAAATAAATGGAACATGGATAAGTCATTTGATGCCTTGGAGCATGGATAATGAAAACAACCAAATGGAGGCTGTCCAAGGGTATGCATTAAGACCTTAGAAGTACATTCACGTTAAACACAAACATTCATGCCAGTGTGAAGAATTTATTTTCATCATACATTGCATACGTTTCTTTGCCATTTGCCATTCGTTTTCCATCCAGGCAAATTGATATGGGTGATCTTGTCTGTTCCAAAATGTGAGGCTTGGATAGTTGACCAATTAACTGCACTGATCTCCTTTTTCAAATGGAAAGACAGTAAGGTAAAATAATAATTAAAAATTATTTAATATTTAGTAGGCTTATTCTAAAGCTGCTCAAAAGTTTTTTTGCTAAATTTGATTTTTAACAACCTTCTTTAATACATTTTTACTAAAGAAATAGTTACTACTGTGTGTTGTAAGAGTACCAAAAATTATTAACGCATTATAAAATGCAATATACAAAGGAAAAATATTTGATTTTTGGACTAATGCTTAGTAGACAATATGGGGAAGCTTAAATCAGAACTTCAGTAAACTTTACTTTTGTACAGTTCTTCCCAGTTGTCAATATAATTTATGAAAATTATCTTACTTGAAGCTTAGAAGCATGCTTCAAGTGTTACAAAAATAGAGTTTGTCCACCTCATTTTATAAGTAAGACATAAAGGTTAGAATCTCATCACATGAAATACACATACTAAAGTTAATTTTTATATAATTAGAAATATATCCTTTGATATATTTCTTATATTATGATGGATTACTTTTATAGCCAAACTCTTATTTTTTTATTTTTATTGAATGGTAACTATGTACATTAATGCACTTGCCAAACTCTTAAAGATGTTAGAATCTTATAAATTTAAGTGATTTTGTTATTAAAAAAATTCAAAGACACAAATATAATCAATTTCATTGGAACAAACAATCAGCAAATAACAAGTTTGACAACAGAGATTCTCGTAACTAGAAAGGAACATATTTATATACTTACACAATTGAAACAAAGAGCCTATTACTAGCGACCTGTATTTAACAATGATGCCAATTAATCATACAATTTACTTCCCAGTCCAAGACTGTGAACTAATGACTCTGAGGATCATAACTTGGCTTACACAGTAATTATAACAGCTAAACTCCTGTCTATTTGCTGGCTGTTGTTCTAAGCACTTTATTGAGGAGTTCATTTAACCCCCTTAAGACTAGTAGGCAAGTACTAATTTTACAAGTTAGAAAAGGGAGAGAGTGAGAGGTGAAGTAGTTCACCCCAAAGTCCTGCAGCTAATGAGTTCTGAAGTCAAGATTCAAACCCACACAGTTGTTGAAGTTGAGAACTTGACCACAACCAGGAGCGCTCCAGTTGTGCTCTAGTTGTAGTGTTTTCTGCTGACAGGGCTCAAACCAAACGTGGGATTTGCTAAGGCAGTCAATGAAACCTGTTGCATTCAGGCCTTCTAGGAAGCTCTTTTCTGCTAAATAATACAATTCAAGTGCAAAAACATCATTCCATCTATGTGTCTAAAAGAATCCAGATGTTCACTCGCTCCAACTCTTTCAGACCCTGCTGGAGCCCCTCAAATATCAACAATAGTCCTGTTTCTACATCAGAAAACCCTATTAGAGGGAATTTAGTAGATGTTTGTTTAGTCTTTCCTTATAATGAGAATAGTTTGAAGAAGTGCGACCTGTGTGTGATCCCCAAAGTAGCAATCGGACAAGTATCGTGGGGTCCGAGCACCCTCTATTGTCACAAAAGCCACTGAGGAATTTAATAAAGGAGAAAATCTAAAGACCTGAAATGTGGTTGATGTGGCTGAAAAATCGAATTTCAAATTTTATTTAACGGCAATTTTTATAGTTACACGTAGCTAGTGGCTACTGTGTTGGACAGCACAGTTCTAAACAGCCCTGCAGTCACCTTTACCATCTTCCAGCTCCAGGCACTGCTGCAGCCTAAAGCATCTCTTAAAAGCTCTCTGTGGGGCCTCCTGGCTCACAGGGTGAAGTACAGACTCCATAGGAAGGAATTATACAATTCGTCCCTACACTACTTTCTCCAGTTGTACTCTGGAGGCCTTCCTCCCTGTCCCCAACAGAACTCAGCCTGTTGTCACTCATCAGACAGTTCGTCCCCTTTGTGTTCATGCCATCTCCTGCCATGTCCCTGCTTGACGCTGCTTGTGAGAATCCTGCCCATCCTTCAGGGTATGCCTCAAATACTTGTCCTCTTCCAAGGCTTTCCTGGTCCCACCAACAGCCCCAAGGTGAAGGTAAGTCCTTCTTCACTGTGCTCCCAGAGTTCTTTTTATCTGCCTCTTATACCACAGGTCATAATTTGTGCTGCAATAAAGGTATTTGTTTACAGACCTCATTTCCCTTAACATAAAAAATTTAAGACACTGTCTTGTTTACTTAATTCAACATATAATAGGCACTGTTGCTAATTCACAATTTTACACATGGAAAGCTTTCAATCAGTATGTTAACTGAACATAATATCAAATTTTCTGCATACGAAAGCAACATATTCAGAGAGATCTTCACATTTAAATACTAAGACAAATTTTGCATCACAATGATCAAAAGAAATATTTTCCTTTAAGACAATAGTTTATGCCAGAATAGGTTACTGTATCTGTTTTCTGTATCTATAGCTACATCTTATGTTATGGAATAATATATGTGCGAAGGGAGCAAGTTTGCTTACCTGATAGGTTTGGGGATTATATATAGTGTAGAGCAGAAAGCGAGTGTTTATCTTCTCTGGAGACCAGGGTAAACCTGCCAACTCTCTTGAAAAAGGCCCAGTCCATGGTAAATCATCCTTAAAACACCCTACCCTGTCATAGCAAACTTCTTTTCCTGCAGCAAAAAGATGGAGTGTCAATAGTACAGGAACCAGGCCCAGAGTGAGGCTGTGTATTCCACCCGGAGAGGTAAAGTCTTTAATTTTGGACATCAACTCCTTCTTTATAACTTACAGACATTTTCTCCTATTCTGAAGGTTGCTTTTTCATTTTCTTGATTATTTATCCTGCTGTGCAGAAGCTTTTTAGCTTAATGTAGTCCCATTTATTTTAATTATATTGCCTGTGCTTTTGGTGTCACATCTAAAAAATCATCACTAAGACTTGGGTCAAGGAGCTATTTCCCTCCGCTTTTTTCCTAGAATTTTTCAGGTCTTAAATTTAAATCTTTAATCCATTTTGAGTTTTGTGTATAACATATGGGTTCAATTCCATTCTTCTGCACCATTTTTCTTGTTGTTGAGATAAGAGTCTTACTCTGTTGTCCTAGGTAGAGTGCTATGGCATCATTGTAGCTGGCAGCAACCTCAAACTCTTGGGCTCAAGAGATCCTCCTGCCTCAGCCTCCCCAGTAGCTGGGATTACAGGTGACCACCCTGATGCTTGGCTAGTTTTTCTAAAGGTCTCACTCTTGCTCAGGCTGGTCTCAAACTCCTGAGCTCAAGCGATCTACCCGCCTAGGCCTCCCAGAGTGCCAAGATTACAGGCATGAGCCACCATGCCTGGCCTTCTGCACAGCTTACTGAAGAGACTAGCATTTGCCCATGGTATATTTTTGGTACCCTTGTCAAAGAGTAGTTGACCATATATGCATGAGGGTATTTCCAGGCTCTCTGTTTTGGTCTCTGTGTTTGTCTTTATGCCAGTATTAGACTGTCTTTATTACTATAGCTTTGTAATATTGTTTTAAATCAGGAAGTGTACTGCTGCCTCCAGCTTTGTTCTTCATTCCCTAAATGGTTTTGATAATTTGGAGTCTTTTGTGATTACATATGAATTATAAGATTGTTTTTTTCTACATCTGTGAAAAAAGCATATGAGGAACTCATTCAACCCAGTAGCAAAAAAGCAAATAAACAAATTAAAAAAATAGGCAAAGAACCTGAGTAGATGTTTTTCAGGCTAACATGTTCAATCACTAATCATTGTGGAAATACAAATCAAATCCACAATGAGTTTTCTGAGACTTGGCACAATATAAAGAAAAAAAAAACAGAACAAAACCAAACACTGCAATTGTTAGGACAGCCCTGGCTGTATCCCAGCCCTAGCAGAGCTCAGCCTGAATGATGGCTTGAAGCTGAGAGGCAACTTCCTAACCCAGCATGTCCTGGAGGAAGTCCAATATAGTTAATTACTCTGTTTTTATTGGCTTCGGTTGATAATTTAAATAATACTCTATTTTTGATCCATGTCTCATATTCCTTATAACTTGACTCCCCACCCTTGTGAAAGGAAGTTTTTGGGGATCCTGACTCACTCTCTCTTCCTCCCTTCATTTTCCAAGCTCTGGCAGCCACACTTTCACTTTCACATGCTGAGACTGACGATATTCAGACTTTGTTCTACCATCATAATTAAGCTTTCCACGTTTTGTCTGTAGGCAGGCTCTAAAAAGTTTCAAATCAATAAGCAGAACTTATATTATTATGACTAAATATTTTTGCCTTCAGCCAACCAGGATGCTGTAATTACAGTCCTTGCTCTGCACCTCTGTTGTTCAGACACCGCTTCCCTTCAAAGGAGACTATGCAAATGAATTCTCTTTTTAATACTGGGATCACTCAGGATCAATGTCATTTTAGTTTACTTCCTGTTTGGATCATGTCTTTTGTGTGCTGTTTTCATTTTCCCGGATTCTCTAGTTGCCTTTTTTTATTCTCTTGTTGAAAGGACATGTACCTTCTTCTATACCCCCAGTGTATTGCAGCTTCTTAACATTTCTCCTGCCTGGAATCCATCCTGCTCTAATTTGAGCCATTGATTTCACATTTGGATCATATCTTTCTAATACAGACTTCTGCTTTTCCTAGAACATCCGGGTGACTTTATTTTTTCCTTCCAGGTTATCAACTACATTATTCACGCCATTGAAGAGAGTTTTGAATCTGAAATGAATATTTTTATAACTATTCTTTCTATTTTTATAATTTGCCAGTTATTTGCCACTATGTTCCTCACAGGGAGAGTATAAAATTTGAGGAAACTAGACGTGATAAAGCAGACTGAGCAATATCATAGTTATTAAAGCCACTTAAAAGGAAATTAATAGATTTATGGTTCTTTTTATGGGATGGACAGAGTCTCACTCTGTTGCTCCAGGTTAAGAGTGCCATGGCATCAGCCTACCTCACAGCAGACTCAAACTCCTGGGCTCAAGCAATCCTCCAGGCTCCATTTCTAAGGTGACCAGATGTCCGGCTTTTGGCAGGACAGTCCTGATTTTTAACAATTTGTCCTGCATCCTGCTGTGTTTTTAAAAAGTCCCAATTTTTGGAAAGAATGCACGACAAGCTAGGGAACAGCGGGACAACGGGAAGGGAATATACGGTTTTTGGCTGCTGAAAAGGTTAATGTAACTCCATTTGGGAATGAAGAGGTTAATGTAACTTCATTTGGAAATGAAAAGGCTAGTGTAAACTCTCTACTCCCCTCCTAGGCAAGGTTGCCCAGGTGAACCAGCACCCTACTCCTTTGAGCCACAGGCGCTGCCCTATACATAATTTTTTTTAATGTATTTATATTTGTAAATTATACTTATGTTGAAATTTTAAAAATATATATTACGACACTATTTTTGCGTTCTATGAAAATTTTTGTTGCTCCACATAGACCAAATTCTTAATTAAGAAGACCCCACCCCCACCCCCATCAATGGTGTCCCATTTTACCAATGTTAAAATCTGGTCACCTTATCCATCTCCCAAGTAGCTGAGACCATAGGCGCCTGTCACAACCCTTGCCTAAGTTTTTCTATTTTTAGTAGAGATGAGTCTTATTCTTGCTCAGGCTGGTCTGGAATTCCTGAGCTCAAGCAGTCCTCCCACCTAGGCCTCCCAAGAGTGCTAAGATTATATGTGTAAACTACTGTGCCCAGCTATATGATGGCTCTTTAAAAAATAACATTTCCTATAAAATGGAAATGGGACCAATAACAAAAGATATAGTTTTAAAATTATGGTACTGAGAAATACTATGAAGGCACTGAAAATGTTTATGAAGAATACATAGTGATATTTCTTAATGGGGGAAAAAATTCAAAGAAAGTGTACCAAAATATTGACAATAGTGACATCACAGTGGTTTTCAAAGAATTTTCTTCTTTATATTATCTATATTGTCAAATTTTCAATAACAGATACAACTTACTTTCACAATGACAAAAAGGAAAAAAAAGAGTACTTCTTTACCAAATGATGCCCAGTCTTCTTTGTCTTATTAATAATAATTTAAATACCAAAAACAGATTGACCCCTATCTGCCATATATATGAAGAAAGGAAGACTTAGAAAAACTGATGATCTAGGTGAAATATTACATTGCTATAAAGTGGCAGGAGAGGCTTGGCACCTGTGGCTCAAGTGGCTAAGGCGCCAGCCACATACACCTAAGGTGGTGGGTTCGAATCCAGCCCAGGCCGGCCAAACAACGATGGCTACAACCAAAAAAAAAAAAAAAAATGGCCGGGCGCTGTGACAGGCACCTGTGGTCCCAGCTACTTGGGAGGCTGAGGCAGGAGACTCACTTGGCCCAGGAGTTGGAGGTTGCTGTGAGCTGTGATGCCACAGCACTCTACCCAGGGGGACAGCTTGAGGTTCTGTCTCAAAAAAAAAAAAAGAAAAAAAAAGTGGCAGGGGAAAAGGGGAACCATTATGCAAGTTATTCTATTTCTAAGTGGGATTGGGAGGTATCTTAGATTTTTATAGAATATGTTTGTGATAACAAATAGCTCCCAAGTCTCACAGGCTTATAAAAACTAAGGTTTATTCCTTGTTCATGTTATATTTTGGCTAGAATGGTTTTAGATTGGCTCTGCCTCTGATTTACCAGTTTTCTCATTGCAGGATCCAGACTAAAGGAGTAGGCTTTGTTCTGTATATGTTACTCTTGGGCAGAGGAAAAGGATGCCACAGCTGAACCACGCAGAGGCTCTGAAAGGAGTCCAGACTTGGCATATTCTTTCCCATGTTCTGTGGTGCCAGAGGTGATCACGTGTAATGATCTTATAGGGAGGAAGAGTAAATCACTGAAAAAAACAATGAAATTCACAGTGGAAGGGCATGTAGGTTTCAGTTTTTATATGTGCCACTATAATTGGAAACCTACATGCTCCCCCAGAATGAAACCCTTTTGTTATTTTAATTTGCATTTCTTCAATTACCAGAAAGTTAGAATATCTCTTGGTGCATTTCTGCCCATTTGCATATCTTCTATGGATAAGATCTTTGTGTTCCGTATTTTTCTAAAATTTGCTCTTTCTTATTTACTTGTAAACATTCTAAGAAAAATAGAGAAATTTGTCTCCCTTAAAGTCAGATATCTGAAAAATATACTCCAGTTTATTGTTTGTATATTTGTTTTATTTATTTCACTTTTTTCCTAAAGAAGTTTTGCATTCTATGCAATCAAAATTATCAATCTTTTTTCTTAATGGCTTAGTGGTTTTACCTTCTTCAGAAAAGCCTTCCTCATTCCAAGACTACTTATTAATAATTTTACTCTTTTCCTTCATTTTCTGTTGTTTCATATTTTACTTTTAAATGTTTACCCCTCTGGGGTTTATTTTGGTGTAAGGAGTAAGATTTGCATCTAGAATTTTAATTCTGTTAGCATAAATTTATGCAAAGTATAGCCATTTTAACTTTCTCCTACATCTGAGGTTGTTTCACTATATTTAAATTTGTCCTCATGGTTTTCTATTTTATTAGTTTTATTAAGCAACTGTCATGTAGATTTATCAACTCAATTGTATTTTTTTCCTGTTTTCCTAATTCATTAACTTCAACCTTTATTTTTATTAATTAACTTCTTCCATCAACCTTCCTTGTCCTTTTTCTAGTTTCTTTAGTTCTTGAGTCAACATATTTGAATATATTCTGCTGCTAAAATGTTTTATTTCCTCTTTGGCCCAAGATTTCTTTAAGGAAAGATTTGATATATAGCACATTAGAAGCAACTAGTTTTAATTGGTTAAGAAATCATGCAAATTGGCACATTAGTTCATATTTTCTTAATTTCCACTTTCTAAAGGAGTCATTTTTCTCTCTTATGGTTAGCAGCCTTTTCCAATGACATAGAAAAGCTGGCAAATAGATTCAATAATTTCTTTGAGAAATATTTATTTGTTTGAGTGCCCATCATTTGCCAGATATAGTTAGCACTGGAATTCAATAGTGGAAAAAATAGTCCTAGCCCTCATGGGGTTCATAGTCTAGTAGGAAATGTGGGGACAGATAATAAATAAATAACACATGGCCTATGTTAAATAACAATGATGCTGGGAGAAGCATAAAGCATTGAAAGGATAAAGGTGTGAGTGTGTTTAGGTGAGGAAGGGTCTGCAATTCAATCAGGGTAACCAGAGGGACATCATTGAGAATGTGGGCTTTGAATTAAGAGGGAGCCAGGAGCAAACCATTTGGATATCTGGGGGGAACACCATTCAGGCGGAGGGAAGTAAAACACAAGACTCTATAAGGAAGTAGGAAGCCTATTATTGAAGAATTATGAGGAAGCCACCCTGATTAGGACCAGGGAACGAGGAAAGGCAAAAGGGAAACACCTTATTCCACAATCTCAAAATCTCTGCGAGAAAAAGCCGGGTTTTTATTACTTCATTCACTCGTTTTCTAGTTTGCAGTAATTCATTTGGAAGCAAAAAACTGACCTAAGACTATTTATAGTCTTTGTCCCACTTAATTTGAATGGCTAGAAATTTTACCACAGTGACAATCATGTGGTTGTATGTGGAGATCTCCCCCAGGTCCTTCTGGTGTTACATGTACATGCCATACATACATATTTGTCATGGCATTTTTCTAACATCCACAAAGAAATCTTAATTTTAGAATGTACTGGCCTCAAGGAGTTTGAATAAGGGATGGTGAATAAGTAGCAGGGAATGACACTAGAGAGGGAATAGAAGTAAAGCATGTGGCATCTTAGAGGGCACTGGAAGGACTTGGGGTTTTACTCTGAAATGAGATGAGAAGCCATGGAGGGCTCTGAGCAGACACGTGCCAAGGACTGACTGAGGCTGGCTTCTGGGGGGAGACTAGATTGATGCAGAGCAAGGATAGAGGGAGACAGGCCAGTGGGGAGGACATCCTAACAAACTATACACAAGACCAGGAGGTAGGTGTGCAGGTGGTTATAAGTGGTCAGGTTCTGCATATATTTTGAAGAAGTATACAAAAGGATTTGCTGACAAATTGGCAGTCAGGTATGATAGAAAGAAAAGTCAAAAATGAGGTTAAGCTTTACGGCTGGAGCACTTGGAGGTCTGGAGTTATCATTAATTGGGATGGAGAAATCTTTGGAAGAAACAGATGTAGGGGAAGATATTGAAAGGTCAGTATGTGGATATATAAATTCCATATGAATAACACACCTAAGTGGAGATGGTACAGAGGTAGTTGCAGATAAGATACTGGAATTCAGGAGAGAAGTTCAGCTGGAGATACTAAATTTGGAAGTTATTAGCATATGTGTTAGGTACCAGAAGACTGGATGCAAATGGACTTGGCTATAAATATCATAGATGAGATAGATACAGGTAATAATACAAATGTGATATAGAGTCAGTTATTTAATTTATGGAAGCTGTGTAATGGATATGTGTGTGGGGTAGAAATGTGGGTTTTACCTAAATTTTATATAATTATACAGCCATCTCTCTCCTCAATTCCCTTCTTACTCAGTTTAAATCTCATCAATCATAACCACTCTTTTTGTGTACATCTTGGACATCACTGCTGTTTTTGCTTCACGTTGCTTAACCACAACTCTGGTTAAATTCAATACTTCATCTACTTTCTGCCTGCACTTGGGCGGTTGAATATACCTGGAGAAAGTCACATACCTTGTTGACTTACTTTGAATTCATGGGTACTAAAGTAGACACTAAAGTTGCTGGCGATAATACCAGATTTGCCTAAGTCGCTCATTTTCCCAGGCTCCTCTTCTCTCCTTAAATCCCCATCAACACTCTTGATGGATGACCTTGTTTCCTGTTTCAATAAGAAAACAGAACAAAGCTTCCACCACCTCCCAGAGCATCTATCCAGGTACCTGTATATGCCTGCCCATCTCCTCTGCTTCCTCTCTGTTCATAAGAGATGAACTATCTTTGCCTCCCACAAAGGCCAACCTTGCTCCTGTGTACTACACACCCAACTCCATCTTCTCTCACCTACCGAGGGAGAATGCTCACCAATACATGCGTCTATTTCGTCTGCTGCACCAATTATCTTCCTCTCTACTAGATCATTCCCTGCCTCACACAAACTGCTATTCTCTCTCTCATCTTAAGTTGACTTCCTGGATGCCACATTCTTCTGGGTCTCCTACTTCACTGAGTATTTGGCAGTCTTCTTTGCTGGTTTGCTGTCATTGTCCTGATTTTCTAATGAGGAAATATCCTAAGACTTCCTCCTCCCTCCTTACAGTCCTTCCCTTGGGGATCTCATGTGCGTTTATGGCTTTAAAGACTATGTCATAGCAGATCAAGGCAGACCTCGCCCATTTCATAATCATGCTCTCACCAGTCTGAGTGCTTTCAGTACTCAGTCAGGGCTGTCCTACGGCAGGAGAATCAAGCAAAACAGAGCATGGTTCCTGAAAGATACGAAAACTAAACAGAGCTCTGTCTCTGTTTTTATCCCATAGAGAGCTGGGTGTCAGGGACTAAAAAACACTCAAAGATTGGCCACTGCCACCAGCTAGCACCAAGACTTTGCACACTGAACTTCTCTGTGCTTTGCTGTCTTCATCTGTGAAAGCAAGAGATAACATTTATCGATTGCAAACTATTACTATGTCTGTTAAGTCCAAGTTCCTATGCTTCGCATTTTACATGAATTACACGTTTAATAGCTCTTATCCAAAATGCTTGGAAACAGCAGTGTTTCAGATTTTTGGATTTTTCAGATTTTAGAAGATTGGCATATACATAATGAGATATTTTGGGGATGAGGTCCAAATCTAAACATACAATTCATTTATGCGCAAGTCACTACAGTTATGAGAAAAAAATTCATTTATGTTTTACCTTATAGACATACACATAGTCTGAAGGTGATTTTATACAGTATTTTTAAGCAATTTTGTGCATCACAATGTGTGTTAAGTGCTTATGTGTGGAATTTTCTACCTGTGGTATAATCTTAGCACACAAAAAATTTTGGCTTCTAGTGCATTTCAGATTTTGAATTTTTGAATTAAAGATACTCAACTTGGAACTTATCTAATTTACACAACCCTATGAGATTATTCATTACTGTCTTATTTTTACATATAAAAAAATGAGGCTCAAAAAAGTTAAGTACCTATTGAAGGTAAGCAACTACCAGATCGCTGACCCAGGATTCAGACCCAAGTAGATTCAGGATCTAAACAAGCTGAACTCAATATTAGACTTGATGACTGTCTTCTTACCACCCTACTTTCTTAAGAAATTGCATGATTCTTTAAAAGAAAGGGTTGGGTCTGCCTATGTAACTTCTTACCACCTTGCGACATTAAAATTATTTGATTCTATTTTGGTTAAAAGAAATAAACTAATTAGCTTCAATGTTTGCTTAAAGGTTTACTATCAAACCAAGGGTGGTAAGAAGAGACAAAACCAGTAACCCCTCCATAGTTAGCAATGTATAAGGAGTCCACAACATAAAGAATGCATGCCAATGAATATTGAGTTAATATATAAAAAAGTCCAAAGACCACTATTCCTGTAAAAACCATGACCCAAATGAAAAAACAAACAAACAAACAACAACAACAACAAAAAAAACAAGGACATTCCAATCAACATTAGTAATTCATTCATTTTTTAAAACATTTATTGAACATGTACTATGAGCCAGGTACTGAAATGGGAATTTGTATATATTCCCACTTACTATTACATACCCATCTTAGAGATGAAGAAATTGAGATTTTAATGGATAATTTATGTGCAAGGCTATAAGACTAGCAACTGGCAGAGCTAGGAACCCAATTCAAGACTGCCTAGCAACTTATGTATTATCGAACATAGATGCTTCCTATATGCTATCAGATTCATTCAGTATTAAAAGCGGATTTTTCCTTAGACAATTTTATGTATAGAAATTAATTACATAAATAGAAATATAAAAAAAGCCAGTATTTCAAGTATATCCATGAATATAGAACACTTCTTTAGAATGAAAATAGTAATGTCTCAAGAGTAAAGTTCATGTCAATTACATTTGGATGTGAATATACTCATTATTTTTTAAAAAGTTATTATAAATTATTGATCTTACCTTTTGATGTGCCAAACAATAAGAATGCAACAATACAAATCCCAAACATCTAAGTTAATTTTTAAAATCACGTAAAATCTTCTTAAAGATCTCTACTTGTAAAGTCCCCTTACGATAAAAATACTAAATGGTTTTCATCAAAATTACTCAAAGTTTAAACTCTAGGTGCAGAAGAAAATGTAGCTAACACTGCCTTTAATTTTTATGCCCTTACAAAGTAAATAAAATCATCAGGGTGTGCCTTATGTCTTGTGATTGGTCATGAACTGTCCCAAGGTCTGCTGTTTCATTGTTGGTAATAATTTGGTTAAACACAATCTGAGTCACTATTGAAAGCTTTTTGAAGGCTTTAAGATACCGGTAAATAAGTACCTCAAAGGTAGCATTTTCCTGAACCAACAGTAAACACTTTTATCTTTTCCTAACACATTTCTGGGTGTAAACATCCACGTAATACTAACAGACTCTGCTAAAAGATGTTCTGGGTTCAGTAATTAATACTGACTCTCTTACCTATGTGGCAAAATAATATCACAGTTACCATCATTAATCCTGGGGACTGATCCTTGGGTCCAAACACTGCCTCTACCACTCACAAGAAGTGTGACCTTGGACTAGTAAGCCTCACTCTCCCTTTCCTTCCTTGTAAAATGGGAATAATCGTGGTTGCTAACTCAAAGGATCATTGAAGTGATTGAATTCATTATTGTCTCAATAGTACCCAGTACATAGTAAGTACTATACTTAGTGTTAACTTTTATCACTGTCATTTTTCAACTATGTTAATGTTCATAGAGGCAAATTTATATTCACATGTATTAGTAGTTAAATGTGCCCTGACATAATTGTACACAGGCTTCAAGATATACTTTAAAGTAATGCAAACTTGTCTTTGGGGCTACTACGTTAAAGTGAAGAGCACTTTGCTCCATAGATATTCTTAGTCTGTTTCTCAGCTTTTAAATGCTCATTGAAGATGGCTGAAATTATTCTTTGTTTTTCCTTAATTTTTTCCAAACTTGCATCAAAGTTTTAAAGATTTATGAGGCACTCAGCCTTTTCATACAAACCTTCTGACATTTTGCAAGATCAGACAAGAAGAGGTTATGAACATGAGTAGTTCCACATCCTGGATGTTCTGTTGGTGAAAGCACTTCCTGGCACTCATGGCATCCACTCCACACTGGCACACAGACTTGTAGCTAATTAGAGAATTAACTCAACAGCAGCACCGAGCAACCCTCCTGGCACAGTGTGAGTGCCCATACCACAGAAAAGTCACTCTAAATACTTTACCAGTTACTACTGGTTGTTTTCCCCAAGCAGACCTTCAAGAATCATTGTTTTCAGCCACACCTGTATGGTAAGTATGAATAACATATTCCTCAGAAACAGCTCTCATAAGTCTGTCATCTGAGTGGCAAGGACAACTTTTGGAAATTAATAGGTGCTAATAAACGTTTTTAAAATAAAAAGGCACAAAGATCTACAATGATGATATAGGACTTTTTAAAAAACTACCCCCCCATTTTTTTTTTTTGAGACGGAGCCTCAAGCTATCCCCCTGGGTAGAGTGCCATGGCATCACGCTCACAGCAACCTCCAACTCTTGGGCTCAAGTGAGTCTCCTGCCTCAGCCTCCCAAGTAGCTGGGACTACAGGCGCCCACCACAACGCCCGGCCATTTTTTGGTTGCAGCCATCATTGTTGTTTGGCAGGCCCGGGCTGGGGATTCGAACCCGCCACCTTAGGTGTATGTGGCTGGCGCCTAAGCCGCTTGAGACACAGACGCCGAGCCCATTTTTTTTTTCCTTAACAGCACATAGCATATTATAGAATTGCTATGCATTTACCTGTTATTCTCCTCTCCTAGTCTGAGCTACTCTAGGACAAGGACTGGTTTTTGTTCATCTCTGGGCCCCTAACACCTAGAAAGTGTCATAGTAGACACTTGGTCACTATTTGTTCCCAGAAAAAAATAGCATTATATTTCATTGATCTTACATCTTCCAAGGATATTCTTCCTCTAGAGTTATCTTCTGAGAGATGAAGACTCATACTGTAACAATTGCATTTAACAGGATCAGATACTGCTGAACCCATAGATGCTCGCTGAAATCATGGCAGTTATGCCTGAAGAATGTGACATGGAGGAGATAATGATAGATTTAAAAAGTTAATAAAAAAATCTACCTTCTTTTAAAAGCTTTCAATGAAGCATTGCCAATGTCTTCTGGGCCTTTTGGGTATTTTACCTGAATCATAAAGTCATATCCATGTCCTGAAAAAAACTCTTTTCTCTCCAAAGAGCTGCTCCTCATGCCTTTCCTGTTCTTGTTATTGGAGCTGTTGTTCTTTTAGTCATGGGTGAGAAACATCTTCCCATGTCCAGGGAGACGTGCCACTGCTGATCCTTCCTCAGTGACATCCCCTTCATTAATTTCCTCGTGTCAGACTCATTGTCACAGTCCGTACTCATTGACACAATCCCTGCACCTCTTGCCTGAAATTTTGCTACTGTCCCGGGATTCTGCTTCCCCAGTCAGGCATCCTAGTGGTTTATCCTCTTCACAGATAAACCGCTTGGAATCACTCTCTGATCACACTCCCCTCAGACATCTCTATTAAACCAAGGGCTTGTCTTCTCCTCAGTCTACTGTCTCAGCTGTCAAGTCCTGAGTTTTTCACATACGGTGTTTCTTCTACCTTGATGGTCCTTCTGCACCCTTCTCTATATACCTGAATCCCCTCCTACTGAACTGTAGATATAACCCCTGAAAGTAATCTTCGAACCCCTCTTATAAATTCAAGGCACAGTTCAAATGTGACAATCTCTTTCACAAATCTTTTTTCTGATTACTGTCAGTAGTATAAGATTTCCACAGTTTCTAAATACATACTGGATCTTGTATTATTTCTATACGCCTTTTTATAGCATTAAAAAATCTTATATTACTTATTGTTTCATTTCTGTTACTAAATTGTAAGCCTAAAGGCCAAGAATATATATTTGTATGCTTCCTACAATATCTGTTTAGTAAAGTTTTTTTTCCAAAACACAGACCGGATATTTGTCTATGAGATAAAATCCAAACTCTTCATCATTCATGCATGGCCATTCCCAAACTTCCCCTGTGGGCTTGTGCTTCTCCTTCCACCCCTCACTTTAGGTGCCCTTCAAGCTGAACCACTCAGAACTCTGCAAACAAGTTAGCTGTGCTTATACCTCTAGGCCTTTCTCTCCCCCTTCTCTACCAAGTAAAATCTAGCTCAAGTATTATTCACTCTAGAAAATCATCCCCAGCCCCTACATAGGAAATTAGCACTGACTCTAGGCTCCTCCACACTCCAGACATAGCTTAACTCTGATGTTTTTACATTAGAATCAGTCACATGTTGTACTGTACCAGACCACCTCCTTGAGATTGAGAAAATTGATGCCTCACGGTCATCTTAATGTTTCCCTGTACTAGGTAAAGGGCCCGTCACTTTGTAGACACTCAATTCTTGAATGAATATTTTAGCAAATAAGTGAGAGGAAGGGAGGAAGAGAGGCAGGGAGGCAAGAAAGATAGAAGGAGAGAAAGACAGAAAGGAGAGAGAGAGAGAAGAAGAAAGAGAAAGAAAGAAACTTAAATAATAAATAGACTCATCTTGATTTGGCTAAATATGGCAAAACATGATAATTCCTATCTATGGAACCAAACTTCTATAATTATAACTCTCAGTGACTCGTGGGAAAGGAAGCAACTCTATGAGTTCATTCATTTTATACTTCATGCTTTCTAGTACATCTAGGCACTTTTTCAAAAGAAAATTAACTTCATGCCTGATTCCTTTTCTCTGAAATACAGGATCATTAGGTATTGTTCTCTTTGATGGACTAAAATAGGTACATGTATTCCAATGGAAATAAATACATTCCCACATAAATAATGACAAGAATTCAATGTTGGAATTGATAAACATTTTCCTTTAATTAGGCCAAATGCTAGACCATTTTATCACATTTTATCAACTAGTTCAATATTATTTACGCTTCCATAGTTCCAAAATAGCTCATTCAATTTTAATGAACTTAAATTTTCTGAGGAAAAGATGACTTGGGGGTAACCTGAAGACAACTCAGTTTTCTCTTTTCACAAGAGAGCCAGTGCTTGGGCCATTACTGTGGGAATGACATGCTACTCTGTGAGGTTTAGTGAATACATGTCCTTTAGATCTTTACATAATAAGTCATGGAATGTATTTTAACAAAAATACTTCTCTCTGGCAGATTTTTATTTAAATTTTAAATAACTGAACATGATATAGAAAACCCAGTTTGACATCTGAAGGGAGTAGTGTAAGAAAGAGATCTCCAGAGACAGAAATAAATAGAAATAAAGAGACTTGGTCTTTACTTACAATATTTGACCAGATAGCTATAGTCTAGGACAATATTCTTTTTCTATAGTCTAGAACACCCTTGCTTATAAAATGAGAAAGTTGAACAGGGTCCCCATTGAACTGGACCTTTTAGAGCCACAAAGATTCTTTGTGGCTTTAACAGTCTACACTTTGGATTTTAAGGATCAACTTTCATACTTGAGTAAGCTCTACTAAGAAAAAAAGTTGACCTGTTTGGGTTCCTGTTGCACAAGAGTATTGATGTATAACCATAAAACTATCCCAAAGTGCAATTATTTCTTGCCATCTGTGCTGCCTCAGTATTTCAGTATTTATTATAGTCAGGTGGGAACTTCTGGCACCACCCAGAAGCTTCTCTCCTGGAGGAGCATATTATTAAGCAATTTTAGGAATGGAGAATGACTTGAACTGCAACTAAATTAACAAAAGAATCGGGGTGCCTTGATTAATGAGGTATTGATTTATGTCCAGTCAAATCTGAGACATTACAATACAATGAATAACCATTGCTATTTTGAAATATCAGAAACTGGGATTTTTTTTTTTCTCTCATTGTGGAAGTTGTTTCTGAAAGCAATAATGAGGAACTAAAGACCTTTCAGCTTTGCCTTAAAGGATGAAGGCCCACCCTGGGGCTCAGACTCCTAAGAAAGGAATTGGATCAGCCAACAAAAGATGGATCAATTTTAAAAGGAATCTTCTCATAGTTAGAATGTTCCCAAGTTGGAATTGATTGATTACTTCAGTAAGACATTTAAGAACATTATTACA